TATGCCAATTAACAAAAGAGGAAAATGAAGATATATCAAGATCTGTTGGTTCTCAAAGACTTTCTCAGGGAAGGTGACAGAGTTAGGACTGGAATTCCTATCTCCTAATTTCTAGATTTCAAAGAATAAAAATTTCTGAATACTTAATCGTGTTCATGCAGAATCTGCGCACAGACCATGAAACAGTCATTAGAAGAGAACAAAAGGATGGTATAAAGTTAGGAAAGCTGTTGTGTCAAAGTTGGATCTTTCACCATACTTATTCAATTAATATGCTGAGCAAAGGATTCAAGAGTTGAACCATGTGAAGAAGAATGAGACATCAGGATAGGAGGAAGGTTCATGAGCAACCTTTGATGTGCTAAAAGTCAAGAGGACTTGAAGCACTTAATATGAATGTCTAGAAACAGCCTTCAGTATGGATTATAACTCAATATAAAGAAAACCTTAGTCCTCACAGCCAAAGTAATAATAGCATGATCATGACAAAGAAAAGCTTGAAGCTGTTAATGATTTCATTTTTTTTGTATCCACAATCAATGCTAATGGAAATAATAGTCAAGGCATCAAATGATAGATTGGGAAAATCTGCTGCACCAGACTTCTTTAAAGTGTTATAGAACAAAGATACTGCATTGAGGGCTAAGAGGCACCTCATATGTGGAGAATGAATAAGAACACAGAACAATGGATGTATGTGAATTATGGTGTTTGGGAAGAATATTGTGGAAAGTACCATGGACTGCCAAAAGAACAAACAAATCTGTCTTGGAAGAAGTGCAATCAGAATGTTCCTCAGAAGAGAGAATGGCAAAACTTGTTTGTACATACTTTGGACATGCTATTTAGAGAGACCCGTCCTGGAAAACTATATCATGCCTGGTAAAGTACAGAGTCAGTGAAAATCAGGAAGACCCTGGAAGAGCTGGATTAACACAGTGGCTGCAACAATAGGCTCAAACATAGCAACAGCTGTGAAGAAGGTGCCAGACCAGGCAGTGGTTCCTTCTGTGGTGCTCATGAGTTGGAGCCACCTGTATAGCAACTAACAAGGAGCATAACTTCTAGAGCTTCCCTACATTTCCTCCCTAAAACATTCCTGTGAACCAAAAGAAAGTTGGCGATTACAATCAGAAACATGGAAACCCATTTCTGAGGTCGGATGAGCTTAAGGAAAAATTATGAGGATGCTAGTATCAATATAACAAATTTGATTGGCTTAAAATTGGACATCACTTCATTTATGTCTACCTCAAACATCAAGGTCAACAGCCAGTCATTGGAGACTATAGGAGTATATGTTTTATTTGCAATAACTACTTGTTTGTTCAACTGCCCCCAAATGAAACCCAAATAAAGTCACCAATTGAGTGAATTTGGAGGTATTGATAGAGGTGGAGATAGTCAACAAAAGTATTTTTGAATATAAATAAAATTCACATCTTTTCACACTCCAATTTAGTCTTCCATAAAAATGGGTCATGAGATAAGGAGCTCCATCCAGTCACTAGTTAGTCTCCATCCAGTGCATACACTTTACAAAGACTGACTAAAAATAAGCTTAAGTCACTGCTTCCCAAAGCATACTCTTATTGGTATGCTTTTATTAACAAAGCAAAAACAACTTCACCCATTGCCACCACTCATAGGGACCATGTGGGACAAAGTGCAACTGCTCCCAGGGTTTCCAAGGCTGCTGTCTTTATGGAAGTGGACTGGCATGTCTTTCTCCTATGGAACAGCGGGTGTGAAAGCACCTTTTGCTATGTATAAAGTAAGAAACAGAACCAGATCAATATACCTGCTATTTCACAGACATTATTGCTTAGGACAAATGAAATAACAACACAAACACATGAATTGATATAAAGAAAAATATCAAATACATAACTTTGCAGGTGACATAAATTTGACTGAGGTCTAGGGAAACTGCTATTATGTATCATTTATGGCTACATCTGGATGAGAACTTGGGGGGGGTCCCCTGATATCTGCCACAATGCTTTATCTTTTATCTGGAATTCTAATATTTTTGAAGTGACCCAAGGACTGGGCATCCTAGAAGGTACCTGTCTTGACTGCTTGCCAGCCCACAGAGAACGGAGTCCTGGCTTGGATGACATACATGGTGATGGGGCTGTGGCTGTCAGGCCCAGGTCTCCAGGAGAGCTGAGCAGTTGTGTCCGTGATTTCATCTATGGTCACAGCCTCTGGGGGACCTGGGGGACCTGGGAACAAGCAAGAGCATTACAATTGGAGCAGTGTGCAACAAATATCCCAGTGAGCAATCCAAAGCACTGACCCCCCCAATAATTTATTATCCACACACAGTCCCTCACTTGTCAAATCCATCGACCAAGTACCAGCATTTTGCTGGGATTAGAAATTCTACAGTGAATGGGGCCTGATCCTTTGTTCTAGGGGTTTATGGGAAAAAGTCACAGGAAAACAATGTACAATAAGATATGTATTCTAGAGGGTAATGGGTAATAGCAAAATCAGTAGTTCAAAACCACCAGCTGTTCCTTGGGAGAAAGACAGGGCTTTCTACTTCTCTAGAGATTTACAATCTTGGAAACCCATAGAGCGAGCTCTCCTCTGTCCTAGTAGGTCACTGTGAGTCAGAACCAGCTTGACGGTGAGTTTGGTTTTTTGGACAATAGAGTGGCAGTGGTTGTGACAATGAGCTGAAGCAGAGCAAAGATTGTGGGGATGGTTTTGGACTGGCAGGGTTTTATTCTATTGTATATAGAGTTGCTGTGATTCAGCATTAACTTCATGTCATGTAATAGCAACAACACCACAATGACTCAAAAGGAGACCTGGTGGCTCAGTGATTAAGCGTTCATATGCAAACGGAAAGGTGTATGATTTAAATCCATCAGCAGCTCCATATAAAGATGTGGCAGCCTATGTCCATAAAGATTTTAACTTTGGAAGCTCTATGAGGCAGGTCCCCATGTCCTCTCGGGTCTCTATGAGTTGGTATTGGCTCAACAACACACATCATCACCACTATGTATCAAGGATTCTCTGAGTGGGACACGTGTTTATGTGCTGGACAACTAATCAAATAGGTTGGCAGTTCAACCCTAACCTGAGGCACTGTGGAAGAAATGTCCATTGCTCTGTTTTCAAATGTCGCAGTCACAAGAATAATTTTGCTCTATGAAGAATAACTCTGCTCTATAGAGAATAATTCTGCTCTGCCACACACTGGATTGCCATGAGTTGGAACTGGTGTGATGACAACTACTAGGGATCAGCCAATCTTATCAAAACAAACAAACAAAAACAAATTCATTGCCATCGAGTCAATGCCGACTCATCGTGACCCTATAAGCAACCTTATAGGACAGGGTAGAACTGCCCTTGTGAGTTTCCAAGACGGGAACTCTTTTCTGGAGTAGAAAGGCCTGAGTTTCTCTGAGGAGCAACAGGTGGTTTCAAACTGCTGATCTTGTAGTCAGCAGTCCAAAGCGTAATCATTATACAACGAGGGTTCCTATTATCAGAGTGTTATGATTGTCAGGTGACCGTGAGTCAGTCCTCAGCTCCTGGGAATCCATGCTCAGGAAAAGAAACATGGTTACATTCCAGAAGCAGGTTCTCAGTGGGTTCCTCCTAGTTTGTTCAGCATCTCCGCCCAGCACCTAATGAGAAGCCATGTCTCTGTGAGGGGCTCTGCTAGGAGAACATTCGGTGCTCCAAAGCCACCAGACTCGCCCTTCTTCAAAGTAATCTCAAAATTAGTCTGGAAGCTAAAGACCCTCATTTACACTTTCTGCAAGTCATACCAGCATTTTTCTACTTATCCTCCTGATGTTCATTGTTTCTGCCCATGTACTTAACCCATTTAAAGGGGAGGAAATCAGATTTAAATGATGGCTTGGGAATCAGAAAGGAACAGAGTGGAAATCAGAAAGGAAAGTGGTTGGCAGGCAAACACAAAACATCACAGAGTCAGAGCAAAGACCCAAAGCTGTACTCTTTTCAAATGTGAAAAGCTCTTACTGGGCAGTTAAATGCACTTCTAACAAGCCACAATTGACCGCCCTGGGAGAGGAGGTGATTGTGAGGGTGACAAAATGACAAACCTCATGCCCGTTAGACTGGCATAAAGAAATATTTCTAGGAGGTATTTGCTAATCCCTGATAAAGCAATCAAATTTGCTGCCAAAATACTATTGGGCCATGTCACCGGGGTGTGTAAAAAGAGACCCCTAACAGTGGTGAAAAGTTACTGGTAATTTCCTGAAGCAAGATGTTCCTGTGGGATTCACTCCTGTGCCCTTTATGTGATGCCCTACATTTCTCTTTCCTTTTTTAAAAATCATTTTTATAGACCCACAGGTGAGACTAAATGTATCTCCTCCCTCCCACTCCTGAATGAAATGCCTGGCAATCTGTAGGCGGAGATGGATTAATTCTCCATGGTGACATTTCAGCACGCCAGTCGAATGCCACCCGCATAGGGCAGGGGCAACCTTTGGTCTTTGGGACATGCATTAACCAGACAAGGTATAGAAAATGATTAATCTACTTTTTATTTTGCTAGATTTCTCATCCTAGCAGTTCCATCCGTTATCCTATGGATGCTTCTTTGATGACCTTTAAAATCCAAGTGCCATAAGGGGAAAAATCTTCTTCTCCACTCTCTCCAAAGAATTAAATTGATAAGAAGAATCGGCGTCCACTGCTGACGGTGGAGTCGGAGGGATAGGAGGCCTATGGACTCGCGCATTGAGGCTGAGAGGACACCTTCATTGCTGTGTTGGTGCTTTATCTTCCGGACATCCACCCCCACCAGGGAGAAAATATGACCTTACAGAATGTTTACCAACTTGGTTTTGGGGAAGTTGGTCCCTCTTTCAAAATGACAGTGTGTACATGTTTATCCTCTGAGCGAAATGATAACGGGGTTGGTGGCTTGTAGCAGTTTTTGTCACAGGCAGCAACAGGGGAACATTGGCCTGATATGTGAGCCTCTGCTGTTGCTCAGAGAAGAGTGGGTCGATCCACCTTACTTTTTAGCTGCCATCCAAGTCTTATAAAATGAACAGAGTTAGCATCAGAGACGCAATGGCCCCAGAACAAAAACCCAACACTGTGCTAGTTTGAAATCCAACTTTCTCTCACAGGGCAGTTTAAATGTATTGCTGCCTCCCTTCTGGTATGCAGAAAAGTTACAAGGGCAGAGCTAGGGAGATAAAAATGGGCAGTTCTGGCTTTAAATGGCATATTAATTTATTGGCTTTATTAGCTGATTAGACTAGATTTTCTTTTAGTCTGTGCTTGCAAATTCCTCTTGGTATTTAATGTTATTTTCTGTGAAACGAAGTACACAATATCATTTAAGAACTTCAAGTATTACTGATTTAAATATTTATTAGTCTAATTTACTGGTGTTTAAACTGCTGATCTGAACATTATCCTAATTAAATAGAGGATAAATTCTCAGCAACAGAATTCTTTGTTCCCAAGGGGACCACAGACCAACTCTGGCATATTTCAAAATGGAAATAAACACGTTTTTATAACTTATTCTATAAGGAAATGTACCCAGGTTTGTTCTCTGGTCTGGCCCTTATGCACACCACTGAGAAAGACTTGTGGATAATGTAAAGAGGAAAGAAAGCAGCCCCATCAGGAAGATAAACAGAAACATACTCAGAGCTCCGCTTCATGAACCCATCTTGACCATTAGTTTAGGTTGCTAACGCCCACACATTTTTCTCCTACTGCATACCTGGGGCTGTAGCAACACTTTTGCTACTTCCAATAATACCTTGTTCTCTGTGCACTCAGTCCCCCTGCCTTCAGTTCTGAGATCCTGGACTCTTGCTTCTTAGCACTCTAAGATCTGCTTGGGGCCCACCCAGTGGGTTGAAGGTGGCTAACAACAACGGCGTGAACTCAGATAAAGGAGACACGAACTCAGAAATTACTCTGAGGCTCTTGCTTGGTGTCACTTTCCATTTTAGAAAACCCCTGAGCATAGTTTCCATTTGGGGATGTTAACAGGCTTACACTGTTTGATTTTCATTAAAAAGTATGTTTCCTCTCTCTCTTTTGGGGGGGTGGGTTGGGTGGGTGGGCAAATGGTAAAATCAGTCCTTTCACTTTATAGATGCTTGTAAAAGGCAGGGCATTGGTTACATTCTTCTTGTTTAAAGACCATTATCGATGTCCTTTTCCAAATAATTCTTTGGTTTCTGTACATTGTTCTTTCATAGGAGTGAGATCATACATGATTTGTCCTTTGGCAGCTGATTTATTTCACAAGAGTTATCCCTGATGTGGCCTGCATCAAGACTTCATTTCTCTTTATGACTATTATTCCACTGCCTCTATATATCACAGCTATTTATCGACCTGTCTGATGATGGGCTTTTGGATTATGACTGAGTACTATTCCACTGCCTACATATATCACATCTGTTTATCAATCTATCTGTTGGTAGACATTTAGAATGTTCCATTTTTTAGCTATTATCAATTCAGCTTCAATGAACATTAGTGCACAGGTCTCTGTGTTTCTTCCCCTTGTTCCTTTGGTTACATACGCAAATGTGGAATTTCTGGGTCACCTGGTAATTCTATATTCAACTTTTTGAAACACTGTCAAACTGTTCTTCAGAGTGGCCATACCATTTTATATTCCTATGAGTACATTACTCATAGGATTCCTTTTTCTTCTACTTTTTTTTGCCAACACCTGTTTCTATCTATCTATCTATCTATCTATCTATCTATCTATCTATCTATCTATCTATCATCTATCATCATCATCATCTATCATCTATCTGGCAGAGAGATGAGACTTCCTACTCCTGTAAAGATTTACAATCTCAGAAACCCACAGGGGCAATTTTACTTTGTCCTATTGGGTCTCTATGAGTCAGAATCAACTTGATGGCAGTGAGTTTAGTTTGGGGTCTATCTATTTACCTATCCACCTACCTATCTATATCATAGCCATTCTAGTGGGGGTGAAGCTGTATGTCTTAAAATGTGCTGTCGTTACTGTTTTTAAAGTGTATTTATTATTACATTAAAAATTGGTTTGGTGAGGTTTGGGATTCAGTCAATCCCAAATTGGCGCAGCTCAGCCAGGTGTTTGCAGTTGTCAGGTCCAAGTTAGGTGATGTTGGTAGTACCAAAGAGATTCTCAAAAGTGTCAGACTTTGCATCTAGGTTATTATTTACTACAACTTAGACAGTTGTGTGTTTCCTCCCAAAGCTTAAGCCACTGCTTCCCAAAGCATATCACCAAAAGCAAGA